CCTCCAGCCCCATTCCCATCTGGATCCTGCACCTGGATGCCTGTCAGCACCTGAGTCTCAATCCCCACATTACAGCCTCCAGGATGCTCTTGATCACATATAATGATGCTCTCCAGACAAAATGAAGGAACTTTCAGTTAGGTTATGGCCCACATTCCCTTAACTGCTGTTAAGTGCTCTCTGATTTATTTTGCATTATTATTTACACTTTGCATACAGTCATGGTTATCAACACCCACTTACCATCATGATTATTTACGAGACTTTTACCATATACTCCTGACAGATTAAATAAAAATATTTGGAAAAAATGGGGCTTTGCTACTGCTCCATATATGACATCAAGAGAGAACCACAGATAAATATTGAGAGAGGAAGATTGAACTAGAGACAGGTAACAGATAGATAGATAGATAGATAGATAGATAGATAGATAGATAGATAGATAGAGATTCATAGATGGATGGATGCATGGATAGATGGTAGAGAGAGAGGCTGGGTCACAGGTTCCGGTGTCTCCATGTGTTCAGCTGTGTGCACTGAGGCCAGGGAGATGGGATCCAGGGCAGGCCCTAAAGTTTTCTCTCCTTGGAAACACCTGAACCCACCTGCAAACACTGAAGCCTGAGGCCTTCATCAGGAGGTAGGTGCCACACATGGGTGATCATTATAAAGAGGAATGGGATGAGGCACAGTAGTGGGGTGTGTTCCATCTGCATGTTCCCGGGCTGGGACAATAGAGGAAGGTGCTCGTAAGAGAAAAGCTGTTTGGCCTGAAGCAGAAACAAGGACATGGGAATAGGAGGAAACAAGCTGGTACCAACAGAGGGTGAAGAAGCCACCACCTTCTTGGTGTTTGCCACAAGTAGAAGCTCCTTTCCTGGAAGTAGGCCAGACTCCACTTTGTTGTTCCTGCACATTCTGAATTGATGTTCAAAAGCCACCTAGCCAGAATCCAGCCTGTGGGGTCTCTTCTCTTCCCTTCCTCTCACAACATATTCCAGGGATGATCAGATACACAGCTGGCCCCATGATATCCATAGATTAACAGCAGTCAACTAACTCCATCTTTATGATTAAAAAACAATGCTTAAGTTATCTTGTAATTGTATTGTAATTTTTAAAAGATGATTTTGTAAATATTAGCCAATTATTATTTTCCATGTTTGATCCTAAATTTTCTGTACTGAAACCCGGTGAGAAATTCCATTTGCTGGAGCTTTTTGGTGGATCCTCACTAACTCAACTCACTACCATTGAGTCAATTTTGACTCATAGCGACCCCTCCTTGCATTTCCAAGGCAATATCACTACAGAAGTATATTTCTCAACCATCCTTCCCAAGAGTGGCTCGTGGGTTTGAGCCGCCAGCCTTCTGGTTAGCAGTCAAATGCCTTAGGCCCTACACCACCAGGATCTTCGCTAGATGTTACCTGAACCAGGTCACTCTATTCATTCAGTAAACCTCTTTACTTTGATTTTACCAGAGAACCCACTCAGCACTTAGACAAGAGAAAAAGTAAGAAGTGATTTAGTAAATAAGCAAAAACAGAAATGACAGGAGGAAGGGAGCAGGGGTTGGGTTCACAATAACAGGAAGGACAGCACGGACGTCTTCCCTCAGGGAAGGTGAGAGCACACCTTGTGCTTTCCCTCCCCGGCTTCCCGCCCAGAGGACCATGCCCATCAGGGAAGGACAGGATGGGCTGTTTGCAGGCGGAGCCCGGGAGTGACAGGGGAATTACAGCACTGCCCTGTCTGTGATGTGTTACCCAGAGGGACTGCCAACTCCACTTCCTTTTGTTCCACCCAATCTTCCTGTGGCCCTGTTCAGCTTTCTTGCCCCTGATGTGAGACAGAAATTCCAGAAGTTGATTTCTATTTCATTAACTGTTGTTGATCTTTTAGGTGTCGTCGATTCATCTCTGATTCATAGTGACCCTATGCACAGCAGAAAAAACCATCAGCCGGTCTACACCACCTCCATGATCCTTGCTGTACTTGAGCCAATACCTGCAGCCACTGTGTCAATGCATCTTATTGAGGGCCTTCCTCTCTTTCTTCAACCCTCTACCTTACCAAAGATGGCATCCTTCTCCAGAGAATGGTCCTTCTGATATCATGACCAAAATAGGTGAGACAAAGTCCGGCCATTCTC